CTTCTGTTGCTAAAGTCATATCTCAATTAAACTTGTCTACAGCTTGTGGTCCAGACAACATTCCTGTCACAGTCTTGCAGAATTGTTCTCCAGAACTTTCTTCAATTCTCTCTAAACTATTTAACAAGTGTTTGACTGAGTCTTGTTTTCCTGCTTGTTGGAAAATGGCATCTGTGGTTCCAATATTCAAAAACTCTGGAGAAAATTCTGACCTCTCCAATTATCGTCCGATCAGTCTTCTTTCTGTTATTAGCAAGGTCTTTGAGTCTTTGATCAACAAATTCCTCACATCTCATCTTGAGTCAAATAAACTGCTGTCAGACAATCAATACGGTTTTCGATCCTCTCGCTCTACGGCCGACTTGCTAACTGCTGTAACTGAAAGATTTTATCATGCATTAGATAGAGGCGGTGAGGCTAGGGCTATTGCTCTCGACATATCTAAAGCTTTCGACAAAGTTGCTGGTCTTCTCCATAAGCTACTGGTCTTCTCCATAAGCTTGCTTCATATGGTGTTTCTGGGAAAGTTTTTGAGATTATCAAATCATTTCTTTCTAACCGGGTTATTAAAGTCATCCTTGAAGGCCAACACTCTTCTTTATTTCCAGTAACGTCTGCGGTTCCCCAACGTTCCATCCTGGGCCATGTTTTGTTTCTTATCTACATAAACGATCTTCCTGACAACCTTTTATCTAAAGTAGCTCTTTTTGCTGATGACTCGACTTTATACTCCTGTCTTGACAAAAAGTCTTCTCTTTAGATTGCCTAGAACAAGCAGCTGATCTTGAATCCGATCTCACTTCAGTAATAGATAGGGGTTCACAGTGGCTTGTGAATTTCAACTCTAAAAAAACCCAATTGCTTACTGCAAACAACTACCGTAATATTGCCAACATTCCTATATTAATGAATGGCAATTCTTTTACCGAGTCCTCCTCTTTTTGTCTTCTTGGTTTATCGCTTACTACTGACCTTTCATGGAAATCATATATACAATCAATTGCTAAATTAGCTTCTGCTAAGGTTGCTTCTCTTTATCGTGCTCGCCATTTCCTTACTTCTGATTCCATTCTCTACCTCTACAAAACTCTTATTCGTCCCTGTATGGAATACTGTTGCCATATTTGGGCTGGTTCTTCTAATGATTCACTTTCTCTTCTTGACAAGGTCCAAAAACGCATTGTAAATGTTGTTGGACCTGGACTATCTGCTAAGCTTGAACCTCTTTCCCATCGTCGTAAAGTTGCATCTCTTTCTCTTTTCTACAGATACTATCATGGTCACTGCTCAAAGGAGTTATCATCTCTAGTTCCATCAACTAAAATTCATTCTCGTTTTACTTGTCATTCAGCTAAGTCTCATTCGTTTACTGTATCTGTCCCTGCATGCTCTAAAAACTTTTATTCATCTAGTTTTTTTCCCCGCACTTCAATCCTTTGGAACTCTCTCCCATCTTCATGTTTTCCTGACTCATACAACCTTCAACTTTTCAAGTCTTCTCTCAACCGTTTCCTTGCTCTATAACTCTGTTCTTTTTTTTTCCTAGTAACTCCCAACTTAATAGTGGTTGCTTGCAGCCTTGTTGGGAGTGAATGCAAATAAAAAAAATAAAAAAAATATCCATAACTTTTTATCATTGCTGTTGTATTATTGTTTTCAAAAGTCATCCATGTTTCAGTAATAAAAACTGATGTCTGGATTCCTATCAAGTATATGCTCCATTACATACGGAAGTTTATTAATAAAAGATCGAACATTCCATAGTGAGCATAATATATGACTCACCCTAATATATATATATATATATTAGGGTGGTGCACAAATATATTGACAATTTCAAAAGTTTCAAAAATCAATGTGTTACTTTTTCCTATTGTTCCTTTTATCATTATATTAATTCCTGCAAAATTTAAGCAAATTTGAATGACTTTTAGAGGTCGCTCATGGCCATGTTTCCTCTTTTAATTGCCATTATTTTCCTATTCTAACGTTACTGTGAAGTTTTTAATATGTACATTTGTTTATTTATTTTATTATGACATAACTCTTAATTTGATTTAATTTAATTAATTATGAAAATTATTTTAATCGATTTTAAATATTTTTTTAAATATATTTTTCTAATTTAATAGTGTGCAACTATCTTTGACAATATACCGCAAAGCATTTTAATTTTTGTTCATATGAGTGCTGATTTGAGGCTTTAAAAAAATAAATTCATTTTGTGATAACAATTGTTTTACTCAGGTTATATTTTGATTTTTAGAAATATTCTGTAATATCAATTCTCAGTTATCTTTCCCTTCGTTTTCGAAAAAAATTGAAACTCAAACAACTACTGACATTTATCTTGTTGGGTATGTTTCTCCAAATATTTCTGGGATGAAGCTTCCAACATGTCGTCAAGTTCTTGCAGTATTTTTTCATCTTCACAAAATAGAAAAACAAACCGTTAGACAAAGTGCAAGGTGTGTCATTCGAGAAGTATTTCATTTGTGGAATATGGCAAGAATTCCAACAACTATTGAATGTAATGCAATTGAAAAACTTGAAAATATTTTTTACAAATGGGCTAAAATAAAGAAAAACATGAAACGAGCTTCGGCAACACAAACAGCAAATGAAAATGTTTTTTGTGAAGAAATTGATCGCATTTTTGATATAGCACATGCTGATGCCATGAGTTTGTTTACAATTGAAGAAGACAGACTATTTCTAATAGATTAGCAAGGTGAACGTAAGGGATACATGGCCGGAGTCGACATGGCATTGGCAAAAATAGAAGAACGTGTCCAGAAAAGAAAAGAATTAGAAGAGTCCAGACGTTTTCAGGAAAGCGAAAAAAGGAAGCTGAAAATACAAGTCACATTGATTCAATGCACCTATCTGACAAGTCTACATCTGGCACTGAAACCTCAGGTGAAGAATTTATGAAACCAAAGAAATCTAATCAAAATGTTGTAAAAAAGCGATCGCGATCTCAAAATATCATTTCACCTGAGTTAGCATCTGCTCTTGACCGAACCAACGTCACGGATCGCCAAGCGACTTATTTACTGGCAGCTGCAGCAAAAGGTTTAGGTCATGACATTACAGATTTTGCTATTAGTCGCAATACGATCCGGAGAGCTAGAATTACTAATCGAAACAAAATTGCTACAACCATAAAGCACTTCAACTTGCTTGCAGCCTTGTTGGGAGTGAATGCAAATAAAAAAAAAAATAAAAAAAATACAAACTTTATGTTTTTTTTTTAATGGTTATAAAATATTGAACAGTAAACTTATAATCAAAATTTATAATGTCGACTTGTGTTGCTATTAATTGTACTTTTAATGCAAAATCAGGATCTCACATATCCTTTCACAAACTTTCATATCTGATACTACTGTCAACTGTATTGTTTATTATATTCTTTTACTTTTTTTTTCATACCCTTAACAGGTTCTAATTGGTATGAAGTTGCCAACATTTTAAAAGTTTCATTATCAAAAATCAAATTTAAAATAAAATGATATTTTCTTTTTATCCGTATCTAATTCAGCAAATTTAGCAATTTAAAATAAATCAGCGTATTCAAAAAATTTTTATAATAAAAAAAGTTAACAATTCATCAAATATCTCTAATTAATACTGTCAGTTTATGAAATTAATTGTTAATAAATACTTTTTGTATTTATGACGGGAAAACAAAAAATATCATAGCGTAAAAATAACCAGAGAAGTTAGAAAAAAGTTCCCATTGTTTAAATAAAAATAAGTAAGAATCAGAATATATAATACTGCGCTCTCTTGCACAAAAACGAGAGACCGTATACATAACATTCTATATAATGTAAAACACTTGTATGAAAATCATAAGATTCGTAAGTAAAGCTTTAATATTTATTTCAATTTAAAAACAATAGAGTTATAAGTAAGATATATAAATCTAAAAATTAAAAAATTATCTACATCATGTTAAAAAATTATTACATCGTACTTTTTGAATTAAAGTAGAAAAATGTAACTTTGCTCAATTAAACTTTTCTTTTGTTAAAAACCTACCGTGACGTCAAATACTAAAACTTTTATGAATTAAATGCGCTTCAAAGGAATCGCCAAAGTCTGTAGATTGCAACGTATAATTTAAAGACTTGGGTTATTGAAAAAAATGGTGAAGGCGAGCTTCAGCTAAAACAACAACATTAGTTTTTTTCGGTATGCATTCATTATTTATTTTTAATCAAAAAAACTTGGTTCAAACCTTTTTTATTAACATTATCTTTAATATGAACACAACATGTGTCGGGAGTTTGAGATCCCTTTAACAACAGGAATATTTCATAATATAAAAACAGTATGCAGTTGAAAGGGTCAGATACAGAAAGCCACCTTGGAGTGTTATTTAGTATAAATCTAAAGTAGAAAAATCAAATTATTATTGCTTCTAATAAAACAGGTCAAACGCTTGTTTGAATCAAGAAAGACTTGGACTGTTTTATTTGTTACTAGAATTCGCAATTTCAATTTGGTCTCCATTTACTATTTACTTAACAGTCATTAACTTATTTGTTATTATTACTTTCTGGAAACTGTTGGATTGATATTCATATTGCCAAAAGGTGATCAGTTCAAAAAATTAGTTAAAAATTTTTTAGTTTTTTTGTTTTGTTTTTGTTTTTACATAATTATTTATTGATGTAAATTTTAAAATAAAAGTTCATTTACCATCAAAGTTATACAAATGAAACACATTCATGTTTAAAGGCTTAAAGTGTGAAGTTTTTAAAAAATTAAAAATTGGTAATTAGATGTTTTTAAATTTAAAGAATCTCATATTTAACTTAGAGTATGAGATTCCTTTCCTTTAAATAAATTAAGAATTCCTTCAAATAAATATGTTAGATAAGAAGATAACTACAATAATAAATAAACTTAAATGAGAAGTTTTTTAGAATTAATAATTTTATAAATATTAAATAAGTTAGTTAGAATTAATAACTTTTTTTTTCTATTAGTTTCTTTAAATCCACCAGATACTGATAGCAAATTTTGTGTCAAGAAAGGTAAAGGTAATTTTTATGTATAGTTGACTATTTTTCTGTAAAATTCTCTAAAATTACAACATTTAAATGTATGATGGGTGTAATAATTAGTTTAGCCACAATATTCAATCATATGGTTGGTGGAATAATTGATAAAATCACAACATTCAAACATATAGTTGTTGGAATAATTTCCGCGTGAAAACATCCAGGTCATGCAACCCTAAGTCTCAGATTTTACTAATTTTTACACCAAAGATTTTAGTTACGAACATTTTAAAATTTTATCCAAATGGTTTGAAAGCTGACTCTTCAAACTTTGCCTTAAACCAACAAAATCTGCCATTTTGAAAAAATGGTTTTTGTTAATATTTCTTTCTTGTGTGCAATGGAAAGCTGAAAATATAATACTTACATATTTTGAGGCAAGGAATACTATTAAACAACTTAAAATATTTAAAAATAAACATAACACCTGTAATTTTGACAATTATCGCAATTTTACTTGGGTTAGTTTAATTACAAAAATGCTGCTGTTTCTCAATTTTTTTAATTTTTTTTTTTTTTTTTGTTGAGGTTATGAATAGTTTAGTTAGAGAATTATGAAAAATAAAAGAAAAAAAAAGATGGTACTCTTAAGTGCATTATACACAGCAGCTGATGATTTACAATTTTCCAAAAAGTTCTTCACCCACCCTGAGCTTATTAAAACCTCCTCCCCCTGTTTGTTAAATTTTACTTGTTACAAACAAAGAAACTGTATCCCAAATCTGAAAACAAAAAGTTCAGTTATTATTTTCTAATTTTTGAGATTCGTTTAGGTCTTAAAAATTTGAAAATATAAACTTACTTATAGGAAGAAAGACAAAGTTCCCACCCACCTATTGTTAAGACTACCCCATCTCCTTTTTTTCTCATCTTCCCCCAATCATTCTTTTTATTTTTATCCCAAATTGTGTTAAGCAATTGAAAGTAACTTGACAGTAATGAAACTAAAGGAGTTTTTGCTGGCATTAAGACTGCTTGTTCAAAATCTAAAAGTTTTTTTCCATTAGCAATTCATAAGTATTTTTATATTTTTGGAGTTTCAAGGCTCAATTAAATTTTTTATATAGTCCCAGACAAAATATCCAATCAAAACTTGTTTGGGTCAGACAGTGTCCGATCAAGTTTTTAAAATATAATTTTTATGGTTTTTTGGAACCAAGTTAAGGGGTAAACAGATTCTATCTGTTGACCAGCCTCGCACCCCTTCCTCATCTATTAGGCTGGCGCAGATGTATTTTTAATACATTGTTTCCAGTTTAGGATGTTGAACGCTGGATCTTCTTGACTCAATGCGTGGGTATTGCTTGTGTCTCTATTTTTATGACTGGGCAACTCATTCTATTATCTCCTAATGAGGGTACAGCTCTAAAACTCAGTTTTATGGTTCTGAGGCCGGCTGGTAGTCAGGTTTCCCGAACTCTGTGGTAGCTCTCAGAGAGGCTGATTCCATCAACAGCCGAAAAATATCAGAGTACTAACAGTGCCATGTTGCGCATGGATGGTGTCCCTGTTTGTACTTTTGGTGTGCATTGCAGAGGCCACATTTGGAGCCCTTTGTTACGGCTTAGGGTTTATTAATAGTAATGAGGCTATTGCTTAGTTGTTAAATAGTGTACTGAGTTTTATCTACACTTGAGTCAAGTTCTTTATAAATTTAAAATGACTAAAGTACCTAAAACTAAAAAACACAAAAAACCATCTTCATCACCAAGTTCTCTAAACCTATCATTTACTAATATTCGTGGTCTTCGAAGTAACTTTTCTTCTGTTGAGTCTTACCTCTTGCAAAGTTCACCAGACCTGCTTGCTCTTTGTGAGACTAATTTGAGTTCGGCTGTCCCATCTTGTGATCTTAGTGTTGATGGTTATCTTCCTTTAATTCGTAAAGACTCCAATAATCACATGCTTGGCCTGGGCATTTACATTCGTAAGAACTCACCCATTTGTCGTGAAACTAGGTTTGAATCTACAGACTATTCATTTATGTGCTTTCGTTTAGCACAACTTCACTCTATCGCCTTTCTCTTTGTTCTATATCGCTCTCCTTCATCCCTAGATTGCACTATTCTTGATGTTATTTCTGATCAAATTGACCAAGCCCTTTCTCTTTATCCATCGGCCAATATCGTCGTTGTTGGTGACTTTAATGCCCATCACACCGATTGGCTTGGCTCTAGTGTCAGTGACTCTGCTGGCGTTAAGGCCCTCAACTTTTGCCTTTCTCAATCTCTAACTCAAATAGTCAACTTTCCAACTCGTTTTCCAGACAACCCTAATCATTTACCTTCTCTACTCGACTTATGTCTTGTTTTGGATCCTAGTCAGTGCTCAATTTCTCCACATTCACCCTTAGGTACTTCTGATCACGGTTTGATCTCTCTAAAACTATTATCAAATTCTTCTACTTCATCAGAATCCCCCTATCATCGTACCACATACAACTACCTTAGAGCTGACTGGGACTCTTTCCGTGATTTTCTTCGTGATGGCCCTTGGGTAGAAATCTTTCGTCTTCCTGCTGACAAATGTGCTTCTTACATAACTTCGTGGATTCAGGCTGGCATGGAATCTTTTATTCCCTCTCGACGATTCCAGGTCAAGCCTCACTCTTCTCCTTGGTTTTCCTCACATTGCGCTGCAGCAATTTCTAATCGAAACCGTTACTTCCATATCTATCAGCAAAACAATTCTCCAGAAAACAGACATCTGTTCACTATCGCCAGAAACCATTGTAAAAAGGTTTTGTCTGACGCCAAAGCTCGGTATTCCCAGGTCATTAAATCTCGTATCTCATCACAAAAATTAGGCTCTCGAGACTTCTGGAGAATCTTTAACAGTATCAATAATAAGGGCAAATCTGTTATTCCTTCTCTCTTGTATGGTTCAGACTTTGTCACCTCACCTAAAGACAAAGCTGAATTGTTTGCTAAGAACTTTTCATCAATATCATCTCTTGATTCCACTAGTTGCGTTTTACCTGACATAGCCGTCAAACAGGTTGATCCCTTGCTTGACATTCGCATCACTTCAGCTTCTGTATCTAAAGTAATTTCCTGCTTAGACTCTTCAACAGCTTGTGGTCCTGACAACATTCCTGTTGTAGTTTTGCAGAGGTGTTCTCCGGAGCTTTCATCCATACTTTCTAAACTATTTAACAAGTGCTTATCAGAGTCTTGTTTTCCATCATGCTGGAAAGCAGCTTCTGTTATCCCTATTTTCAAAAATTCCGGAGAGCGATCTGATTCATCTAACTACCGTCCCATTAGTCTTCTTCCTGTCATAAGCAAGGTTTTTGAATCTTTAATCAACAAACACTTAATCTCTCATCTTGAATCAAATAACTTACTTTCTGATCATCAATATGGATTTCGGTCTTCTCGTTCTACAGCTGATGTGCTAACAGTAATAACCGATAGGTTTTACCGTGCATTAGATAGAGGTGGAGAGGTTAAGGCTATCGCACTTGACATTTCTAAAGCTTTTGATAAAGTTTGGCATGCTGGTCTTCTCCATAAGCTTTCTTCTTATGGTGTAGCTGGTAATGTCTTTAAGATTATTGAGTCCTTTCTTTCCAATCGTAGTATAAAAGTTGTCCTCGATGGACAACACTCTTCTTCACATCCTGTAACTTCAGGGGTTCCTCAAGGTTCAATCCTTGGCCCTATACTCTTTTTAATTTACATTAACGATCTTCCAGACATTCTCACATCTAAGGTGGCATTATTCGCTGACGACACTACCATTTACTCTTGTCGTGATAAGAAACCTACACTCTCTGATTGCTTGGAGGGGGTATCTGAGCTTGAAAAGGATCTCACTTCTGCTACAGCATGGGGCTCACAGTGGCTGGTGAACTTTAATTCAGATAAAACTCAATTTTATTCGGCCAATCGTTATCGTAATAATTTAGATCTTCCTATATTTATGAATGGTAATGTACTAGATGAGTCATCTACCATTCATCTTCTAGGATTAACTCTTACTTCTGATCTTTCTTTTAAACCGTATATCAAATCCATTGCAAAATTAGCATCTGCTAAGGTTGCATCTCTTTATCGAGCTCGACACTTTCTTACTCCAGATTCTATTCTCTATCTCTATAAATCTCTAATCCGTCCCTGTATGGAATACTGTTGCCACATCTGGGGCGGATCTTCTAGTGATGCTCTTTCTCTTTTAGACAAGGTGCAAAAACGAATTGTAAACATAGTTGGACCTGCTCTGGCAGCCAATCTCCAACCTTTGTCACATCGTCGTAATGTTGCTTCTCTTTCTCTTTTCTACAAATACTATAATGGGCACTGCTCTAAAGAGCTAGCGTCCCTTGTGCCATCTACTAAAATTCATTCTCGTGTTACTCGCCATTCAATTAAGTCTCATCCTTTTTCTGTGACTGTTCCTAAGTGCTTCAAAAACTCTTATTCTTCTAGTTTTTTTCCTCGAACATCAGTTCTTTGGAATTTGCTTCCTTCATCTTGCTTTCCTGATTCATATAATTTGCAATCTTTTAAGTCATCAGTCAATCGTTATCTTGCTCTACAGATTTAGTCTTTTCTCTTCCAGTAACTTCCAACTCTTATAGTGGTTGCTTGCAGCCTTGTTGGAAGTGAAGATGTTAAAAAAAAAAAAAAAAAAAAAAAAAAAAAAAAAAATGTAATTGAAATTTTTTTTAAAAATTTTATTTTACGCAAAGGCGTAAAATAAAAAATTTAAAAAACTTTAAATAAATTCAAATTTTTTAAAAACTTTAAATAAAATCAAGAATTATAATTTAAAATAAATGCTTTGTATAAGTTAAATGTTATATTTAATTCTTTTAGTAGGTATGTATTTTTTATGATAAATTTAAACGTTTGAAACTAATTTTAAAATAGTTTCAAACATTTAAATTAATCATAAAAAGTCTTTCTAAAAATCTTTTATTAAAAGTTTATTCAAATTATAAATAAATTACTTTATATTATAAATAAATT